TCAACTTGATCACTCAGGTAATGAGGAAGGCCATAATGCCACACTTGACAAGCATATTCGACAATTGGTCGAATATGTGTACAATAGGTTGAGATCAGAATATGAGAAGGTAAAGCATTTCTTTTAAGAAGGCGCAGACCGTACAAACGCTTCGCGGCTTTCTTGCAAATGTAGTCAATATGGCAGTTCCATTTTAGGTCGTCCGAAAGGACAACGCCCAATAGTTTGGCCTCGGAAACGACGTCGACCTCTTGACCGCGAATGGTAATAGGGGCAAACGATGGAGTAAGCTTAGAAAAGCAGACACGCAATTCTTTGGTCTTTGATACGTTTAACTTCATATTATTGTCTGATGACAAATTAAAATGCATTTCGTATATTATGTTGCATTCATGCAGTTTTCATCCAGAAATCAACACCACCGTTAATGGTATTTTACTACGGGGAGAAAAAACCCAGCACAATTCTCTATGACCTTGCATATACTAACTAAAATGAAATTACAATGCATTTTCGGCAAGCGGCTGAAACTCTAGCTGGAGTTTACCATGTACTAAGTCTATGAATTGTGTCTCCGAAATAACGAATTATGTTAGGGCAATGAAACAGTCCGCATTTTATCCTTTTTGTCCGCATTCGCATTTTAACCCTTTCGTCCGTCCGTCCGTCCGTCCGCGTCCGTCCGTCCGTCCGCGTGTCCGTCCGTCCGTCCGCATCCGCGTTTTATCCCAACCCGTTTTGAAACTCTTAGGCCGTGGGATGAGCATCCAAAAGATGCTTAGAAAACGGATTCGTTGCACCCCTCGTGGAACTACGTAATTTGCACATGAATAAATAGATAAAAACTTACTTTATCAGAATCCGTTGCTCCCCAAGCGAAACAGGTGCACAATTGGGAGAAAAATCCCTCCAAAGTTTGATATTTTCCCGCTTCGAAATATTCGAACCGCCATTGTTTTGGTAGCAAATACGCATGCGCAACTCAGCCAAACTCCCACTGCGCACGCGCACAACCAATGCACATGCTTCGAAGTGGAAACACGCTCAGTTATGCAAATAATCATGGCTGAAGATATTTATAAAACTCGAATATCCTCATGTTTTATATATGCATTTTGATGGCGTTACGGAGCAACTTTGCTAAGTTACACGCCAAAGGCTTAAAGTGCCCCTGTCACAAAATGAGAGTTTACATCATTAGAATCGTCTTGAAACGTAGATTATGAAAATACAAAACAGATTTAAAATTGAGCTTGCTTTCACAGAGTAATAAGGCAATGAAATTTGAAAATTTCAAATTTTAACGGCAAAAGTTTTTGAAAACCGCGAAGCTGGGAAATTGGTAACTAATACGTCATAGTAGGAAGACATTGCCTTCTCGCCTAAGTGAAAAGTATATAAATACTAAGTGAGAATCACAATCAAGCTGGTCAAAATTCGATACAAATGTCTTTACGAAAAATAACAGTTACCAAAGCGATGACTGCCTGAAATTATATTCCTGGGCCGTATCAAATCGAGTGAAATCGATGAAAACACCAGTGAAGCGTGGTCAACGTCGTGCACACAAATGATCGGCGCTGCTTGATCCATATGTTAATAAACCATGCAGTGACCGACGAAGATGGCTCAAAAGTTACCGCGAAAAAAAGCAATCACAACGAACGTCTTAAGCAATTACAACAAAGGCTTGATAGTTCAGAAGAATTGAGTAAATGGTAAATATTTCACTCTGATTTTGTTGCGTGACTTGACCTTGTGTTGTAAATTACAAACTATAATATTTCATGTGTAAACGTGGCAATTGTCGCATTGAACTGCTTTGTAAATTATGCTAAAGAGTGTCAATGTTGTATGGAAATTGAGGAGTGCGTCGATTCTCTACACAGTGACATTGTGATTTGTGATGCAAGAAGCTGAAGTCGCGCCATCATGTATAATTCAACAGCTATGGCTAGATAAGTGAGCTCTCCGTTCAGCAGCCACGAAATTACGAACAAGAAAGAAACAGGAATACCGTCAAACAAGCACAAAAGATAGGTAAATAAAGTTTTATTTATCAACATATTGAAATTATGAAACACTAAAACCGTACCCGAGTTTACTATCAGTGAACACACGCATGCGGTACGGTAACTGAGAGTTTATATACGGTACATATTGTACAATTATTGAATTATTATATATTTACATGTGTTCACATGCAAGTATTAAAGCGACTAATATTTACATGTGTTCACATGCAAGTATTAAAGCGAACACAACGAGTGTATATATGTATAATTTACTGCGTCAAGTTTACTTATACGTACAATTCTACTTTCCCTGTCTAAACTAAAATACAAAGAGTGCACATTGCTTGTAGACGTAAGAAAATGGTTTTCATCAGCTATATTTTGACCATATTCACTCATAGTCATAGCTATATTGTCGCGATATTTTATATTTCTGGTGAATCGATTGGCTGTGGCTCATTTATATTTATCGCGCTTTCCAGTTTCGTGACTATGACCATTTCGGTTGACTGCATCGAAGCAGCTTCTAAATACAACCTATTCAAATAACGAATTTGGAATAAAAATTGCACTAGGCCATATTCAAGTGCATGATAAAACGAAGTTAGAGTATAAATTATACATATACCATTCTCTTGACTCTCGCAGACAAAGGTTTGTCGTCGACAGTATTTGTATATTTTGGAATTGCAACGAAACCAATTTCGTCGGTAGCTAACCGTGGTTTTACCAGCAAGCTATATCTTCGCAAAGTATGCTGAACATTGGATCTCATATTGCTGGTTTAAGGTGCACGAAGTCAATCCCTGTCCTTTTCGCTTCGTGCATCTCGCCTCCAGTAAAAGGTATAAAATGAAGTGAAATGCCTTTCTCTGTATCTGTGACATTAGAACAACCGCCTACTATACATATATTCGGCAATTTTTCAGTTTCGTGACTTTTATTTGCGCTGTTGCCTCCTCTATGATAGTACATGCAATAGTATTTCTATATTAGTGAGCCACATAAGTTCCTACTATTACGTCACACGCATTGTTTCGTCCCAGTCCCTTTTGCGCGGTTTTCAGATTTTTCACAAGGCCAAATTCAATGTTTAAACGGCAATAACCTTTACACTAAAAAAGCAATTTCAATTCCGTTTTCGAATTTCCGTATATTTTGTATCATAGATTTCGAAAATACGTACAGCTGCTGAGAGAAAGAACGATGAACGGATACTCGTGCAAATCCGGGAGAAAGACTGTGTAGCTCTGGAAGTCCGCTATCACAAAGTTTGCTACTGCAATTATACAAAATTTCTCACCAGAGAGACGAAGAAGCAATCGGAGACTGAAAGATCTACATCAGTGTACTCGTCTTATGATGTATTCTGTAAGAAAGTAATCGAGACGGAGGTCATCGGAAATAAGCAAATAAAGTATATGAAAGATTTGCTGGAGAAATTTGTTATCATTGCTAAGGACACTGAGAATGTGGATGCATCTAAATATAGAGCTTTTAAAATCAAGCAATGACTGATGAAAAGTTATCCCCAACTTGTGTTCTGTGTACTGAAAATGAGAAATGTTAGTGAGATTGTATATGTGGAAAATTTGGATTCTTCTGAATTGGTTGAGGAACATATGTCAATTAAGTCTGAAAACAACGATGAGGACTTTGATGTAGAGAGCTGTACCATTGATGATGATGATCTGAATTCCAACACGGAAACTGAGGGAAATTCTAAAGTCAACGAGTTACAAATTCTATACAATGCTGCATTGATTCTTCGCCAAAAGGTGCAAGAAATACCAAAACTGAATCTTCCTTGGCCACCATTGGCATCTGATTTGACAATGGATAATGTGCGAAAAGTTGTTCCATGTGAACTTTTTAATGTATTGGCTTGGATTTGTGGATTCTCTTCAGAGCCAACTTTAAATGAGTATGTGCCAATCGAGGGCAAGAACAGTGCCAAACTAACATCAATCGCACAAGACCTTGTGAATCTAGCATCTGGCGGAAGGAATCCTACACCCAAGAGCATAGCACTTGCCATGGCAACTAGACAACTGACAGGTTCAGCCTCAGTAATTTCTTGGTTGAGTGGCTTGGGACATTGCATGTCACACTCCTTTGTATTGTGCCATGAGACTGCCCTTGCACAGATGAATATATCCAATGATTCTGCTATTCCTCCAGGCTTTGTTAGTGATGTTCCAACTACTCTTGCATGGGATAATGATGATTTCTCAGAAGAAACTAGATCTGGAAAAGGGACAACTCACATAACTGGGGGCATTATCATTCAAAGGGAGCAAAGTACAAGTACTTTGTTACAGAGACGAGATAGCATTCCCAGGTCAAGATCCCTCCCAGCACCATCAAAAGACATTAATCCTTATTTTCTTGGAAAAAGAAAAACTGTTAATTTAAACGATGCCATGCAAAATAAGGAAATCGAGGAAGAACATCATATATTACCTCAGATTGATGCCAAGAAGAAAGACCTTGCATTCTGTCTATGTAGACATCTTGGTAGGAGCAGTGCAATTCCAAATTGGACAGGATTTAACACCAGACTAGCTGTCAATAGAAACATACCTACCCAGTCAAAACTTGGGTATCTACCTGTAATTGATGCTTCCCCTACAGAACTGTCAACAGTAAACGAAATATTGAATCGGAGCGAGGAAATTGCCAACAAACTGGACTTAAAGTATATGTGCTTGGTTTTTGATGAGGCCATTTATGCCAAAATTCAACAAATAAGATGGAAGGAAGAAAGATACCTCAGCCGATTTGTTGTCCGACTTGGAGATTTCCACATGGCAATGTCATTTTGTGGAGCTATATCAAAACTCTTCAAAGATGCTGGATTACAGGTATAGTATTTTTGATATCTTTATTTTTTCCAAGTAGGTCTGACCAAAAAATAATATTAACCCTCTAAGTGGCAATGCACCCTGATGCGCCCTACTTTAGTATTTTACTCTGTCTAATGCCAGACGATTTTACTTGTCAAGTGGAGAGTGCTGCCACTCAATGGGTTAAATTGTCAAACATTTTTTAATAGGACATTCTCATTGAGTCAGAAGTTGTAGCAGCTGGATCCATTAATGGAGTAATGTCTGGCAAGCATTACAACAGAAGTGTTAGGTCACACAAAGTTGTCTATGAGGCATTGGTCAGACTGTTGTTTCAGCAATACCTTGAGTCACTTACACCAGCTGAAAGGGATGAAACAGTTACTTTGATTGGTGAGTTTCAAATTTAGATGTTTATTCATACAGTGAGGAAGTTTCACAACAATGTCAAATTACTTTGCCTTTTACAGTGTGTCAAAAAAAACGAAAACTATTGAAATCACCGATAACAATTTAATTGTTAGAATTTGAATGCCTTAGCACACTGTTGGTTCCCACGAGTGCATAAATGATTGACATAAGTAAATTGTATGCATAAAGAAACTATTTAAGAAGCTGCTTTAAATTCCCAAGAGCAGAAAATCGCGCACTTTACAAGATGTTCTTAACTAAATGTTAATACATGCACCTTGTCAATATTTTACGCATCATTACGTTCAGCTTTTTGGTAGGGCATTCAATTTTAACAATAAGTGATTTCAATAGTTTTCGGGTTTTTTTGGGACACCCTGTACATATGAACAACAAGAGCGATTGTTTCACCAGGATATCCAAACACGAGAAAACAATGTGTGAAAACCAGAACGCCTAGGGCGAGTGTTTTTGTTAATTGTTTTCGAATGTTTGGATGGGACACAGGTGGGACACAAGCTCGAGTTGTTTATATGGCTTCTCAAATGAAATGAGTTGAGACGTAACAGAATGTTTTTGCTTGCTGATTTGAATAAAATTATTAACCAAGCATAACGTACTTAGTAATTCTATTCCAGTAATTTTGCATGCGTAATTAAGATATTTGATGAAAACACTAGTGGCTTTTATCAAGTTTCACCAGGTTATCTAAATGACATTTCATAATCTTGTGATCAAACAAATAGGTGATTATCATTGCCATTGGCTCAATGCCTGAATTGCTCATCAATTATTAATGAATTTGAGGATTGGTAATCTCAAACTAAATAACATTGCTTAAATAGTAACTAGGTGCCTTCGAACTGTAATAAACATTTATTTTGCATTACAGAAAACTTAGCTGAGACATTCCCAAGTGAAGATTACCTACCACAAGTGATGTCAGAGAATTTTGGAAAACTGGAGATGGCTGTCGCTATGTTTTCTAAATCAGAGGCAGAGAAAAAACCAACATTTGCTCTCTGGCTTAATTACATTCAAATGGTAGAAGTTCTTTTAATGTTCTTACGAGCAACAAGAGAAAACGACTGGGATCTACATCTCTCAGCAGTTAGATCAATGCTACCATGGTTTTTCGCAACTGACAGAGTTCACTATGCTAGATATGGTACAGCATACTGGTTGGAGATGCTATGTATTGAAACATCACATCCAGGTAAGACATATTGTATTTTAGATTGTTGTCAAAGGTGCTGCAGTAAAATGTAAACCCTCAATGTTTGGAGCAATTTTTTCCAATGTTTGAAAGGTAGTTTTCTGACAATTTTTTTAGGGGTGACCGATGATATTATAAAAAACTGGACATGTCAGCGTCAGACAACACATGGTTTTTCGTCAACCGCATGTGACCAGGTGATGGAACAGACCTATAATCGTGATTCAAAAGTGAGAGGCGGTCTGGTTGGATTTACTCTGAATCGGGGTGCAGTGCACAGATGGATAATGTCACAGGCTGACCGTGGTGCCATAACAAGACAGTGTCTCACAATGGCAGATAATTCATCACATACCAGGTAAAGTTTGTCCTAAAATGTAAAAATGCTGAATTGCTGTACTTTGACATTTTGGACAATACAAAGCTTCACTTGCCCACCATTTTAAAAATATTGTACAGTAGATTACATGACCCCATGTTTTTTACATCAAAACAGATTACAGACAATAGATTTGCTAAGTATACAGGTATACTATACAGTCAGCTAAGGATTTTTATGGCCCCTGGTAATCCTGGAAAACACTGGATTTTTATGTTATAACTG